GGAAAATTTGGTGAAGAGGATGTGATGTGATTTAGGGTTTTGGAGAGAGGAGAGAGAATGGTAGGGTTAAGCATGGCGATTCTGGAGAGAATGAGATGGGAGGAAGAGAGTGCAGATTGGGAGGGAAAGAATAATGAGAAGAAGCAAGTGAGATTTGAAAGAACTGAGAACTTTGAGGGGAAAGTAAAGAGTGATGATGAGTGGAAAAATTTTGGATTCTATGTGTTGGTGGAGAGCTTTGTGTTGAAGAGAATGGATGGAAGTGTGGTGTTAAGTTATGATTTCAGGCACACAAATCATGTTCAGTGTAAATGGAAGTGATCTGTTCGTTATTTACATCCCCAAATCATTTTGTTTTCTATCATGTTTGTTGTTCCATGTCTTCGATTTTGTGTTTTTTTTCCCTTTAATTTCTTTGGGTTGGTTTGAGGTTTACCGGCTTGTAGGTTTTGTGCCGTTTATATATGTATCTATTTTATGGCTTGTACCGATGTGGCTTTCAAATTAATTTCTTTATAGTTGAAGTGTTACCCATTTCCTTGATTATAGGCATAGAGCCTATATAGCAGCATTCTGCCAGTCCTTGATGGACATATCTCAAGTTTAGTGTCTGGTTTGCAAGCAGGGAAAGCCAGTAATCAAGGGGTCTGGTTTTTTTTTTTTTTTTTTAATGCAATCTCACAGAAAAACAGTGCAAAGAGACAAAAATTGGGTCATGTCTAAAATACATGATATCATAAAAGGAAAATTACTCCCAAGTCCCACTTAAGGGAGTAAGGATTCCAATTACTTTAAAGTTTCATGAAATGCACAAATTGTACCAAGTCCTAAATTCCTTAATTAATTGTAAATTTTTTTGTGCAATTACAAAAATACCCTTACATTATTTCATATTTTAAAAATATAATTCATTGATGGAGCTCCAACCGCTGACCTTGGAACTGCCACCGATTGTCGGATGTGATGGGTTAATTTTGGGAAGTGGTGGTCTTGGGAGAATTAGATCCCAAGACCACATGATTATTTGGCATGGAAATTGAGCTGTACGTTCAACTGCTGCAAACATTTGTTGTACTTCAAAACAAAATATCCTCCATGTAGCCTCACATGATGAAATGTATCGGAAGTCAATATAGTGTCTAATTTCATCAAAAACTTCTCTTGAATTCTGTGAGTGTTCATTGGCATAGGTCCCTGCAATCACTATTTAAGTGGGTATGGGTTGTATGGAACAACAACTGATTATCTGATTATCAAGTGGTATTCTAGACACAAGATATTACACCCTCCCCCCCCCCAACTCACACACACATATACTCTCTCTCCCAACAACAATATAAGTCATTTTCCAAAACCTCTACTTAATTTAAAATATAATATAGGGCATCTAATATATATTATATATTTTTTAATTACACCCTTACTTTATTGAGTAATTAATAAAGATGTTTTGAATAAGTTAAATGTGATTGAAAAAATGTAAAAAAATGTAAAAAATAAAGATTTTAACCAATTTTTTAGAAACGTAAATTAGTTAATAATAATTATATTGTAACCCGAAGGGAGTATATTAATTATTTTGCATTATTATAGTAATGAGTATAAGTAGCCTAATTTAGTAACTCTGCTTAGTATTTAATTTTGTTGTAAATAGTGGTTTTTAATCTTGTTTTTATCTGTTAGTGTGTCTTTAATTAGTTATTTATTTTGTTTGTGTTATTTTAGATGACCTTGAGATGGATATTGGAATGAAGCATGGAAGGATGTGAAAAATGATAAAAAGAAATTACTAAGAGAAAGATGTCACGAGGTGTCATCTAGTTGCCATGGCAAATTCCAACAACAGTGGTCTATCATGGCAATATTCACTTTCAAAACGCATAGCTCCATTTTTCAATTAGATCAAAGAGAAAAGTTACGGTTTTTTGAACTAGACTTCATTTTTTATGTTTTCTAAAAGTCTTGAAGAATTTTTGGGGGGCTGTGGTCGAATTTGGATCTCGGGAGGAAGAAAATTCATTACCATTCACATCTTCATTGAGTTTTCTATCACTTTTCTCCTTCTTTCTCTTTTGTGTCCGAATTTGAACCATTGCTCTACTGTTTTGATATTTTAGCTATGTGATGTTTGAACTTTGATACTCTAGAGTGTTATAAACTTATTTGTTCTAGTTGTATCTTGATTTACTAATTATTTTGTGATTAATGAATGTTTTATATTTTAATTTCCGTTTTTCTTTGTGTTGCTTGATAATTGGCCATCATTAGGTGATAATTTGGGAAAATAGTATGAACTTGAGAAAGGAATTATTATTTGAACTATTGGACTTGAATGCTGAAAATTAATTATAGTTAATTTAACTTTATCAGGACAAGAATATACCTAAAGGACTTATATAGTTAAGAGGAACTTGAACTTAATGTTTTTAATCTAAGTGTAGGAAGGAATTGTTGAGTTAGAATTAAGTAGGATTTTAGGTAATTGAAAGATATTCAATATTAATTCAAGTTCCATAACTCTTAGAACAGAAATTAAAATCAATTTAATTGGTAGGTTGAGTATAATTGAGCAAATGAGGGATTAGAAACTCTAGGGTGCTTTTCATATTGTCTTTTTGAATTTAGAGAGCTTCAAAATCTAAGTCTTTTTGCCTAGTTCATCTTTATTTTTTTTGTCTTGAACTATCCTCCACATTTTTGCTTGCTAAACTTGAATGGATCATTGATAATTTAATGCCTATTTGCCATTTCACTTGATTATCTATGAAATTGACTTTGACTTATCATTAGCTACATTTGTGACCTGTACACTTGTGGTGTCTATTGATTTTGGTGTGCATTAGTTTAGCATCCATTTTGAGAACCATGTGGTCTTAGGTTCTAATCCTCCCAAGATACCCTTCCCAAAATTAACCTCTATCGTTGTTCATTAGTGGGTTCTCCAACAACTGGCGGTGGCAGCTAGTCATGTCTTCAAGGGCAATGGTTGGAGTTTTGCTGACTAGTGGTGGATGAATTATATGTTTTTAAAAATAAAATAATGTAAGTGAGTATTTGTTAATTGCACAAAAAAACTTATGTATGATTGAGGGATTTGGAACTTGGTGGCAATTTGTACATTTCATTGGACTTTATGCTATGCTTGAATACATATAAATTTATATTTGAGTCAAATCTCCTATTTATGGTTATCCAAATCCAAATTTTATCTTAATTCGTTTATAATTTGAAATCATTTATAAACCCTTGTTATTTAAAATTTCCATGTGCATCCCCGAAACACTACCTAATATATAGAAATAACCTTTGTTATTTAAACTTTCTTAACAAAGAATTTTAAATATGAGGGTTTGAAATGTAATATTTTATATTCAAAATTCAAATTCAAATCTACCAATCTAAATACTACTTTAAAGCAACTGAAATCCTTAAGTAGGACTTGGGATTAATTCTCCCCTATTATAAAATATTATTGGGTTCTTGAGCTTATTCAAGTTAGTTCGAATACCCTAATTCTTAGATTTTTTTATTTTAATTTTTAAGGCAATTTAAAATTTTTAATTACTTTCAAAAATTAAGATTTTTAATCAACATACTACTATACACTTTTTTTGACCGGTCAATGATCACTAGTGGTTTGTCAAATGCCAATCAACATGAGTAAAGGGGATGTGAGTTCAAGGATATATATTAGTATCATTTTACATATAACCAACTATCATGAGACTTAAGTGTGTTTTTGCAGATTTTTGAGATTTACTTGTAAATAAGTCTTTAATTGGGATCTATTTGTAATTTCCCTAAATGAAATGACATATTTCATATTTGGTCTAAACACGATTATTATTGGATGGCTTGAGGAAACTACAATCCAGTCAATGTGGTTCTGGTTTCGTGTCAAATTAACATTCTTGTTTTGTCCACGAATTAACGCTAGTCACGTATCCTAATTTTCTGACCACCTCGACCGCATGGGTGATGAATATTGAATATTATTATGATATATTGATGTTTATCAGAAATTTTCGGTAATAAGTTTTCTTATTATATTTATAAATCATTTTTAATACGTTTCGTCAAATTTAAAAAAATTAAAGTTTACAAATTTATTTTAAAATTTAACAAATTTTTATCTCTATTTTTTAATAAAAATAAAAAATGCATTTAATAAGAATATAAATATAAAAAATAATAAAATTTCTTTTAAATAGTACTAAAATTAATCTTCTCTTTTCACATATTGATTTAGCTTGCTATTAGGTAAGCTGAATGTTAATTTATATTTTATTTTAGTATGTGTTTGACGTTAGGGTCTTTCTAGTTTCAGTTCTCTTCCAAAACAAGTGCATATTTTCTGCGAATCAAATTAAAAGTAAGAAAATTATTCAATTTTACCGAAATAAAAATAAAATTCAATTTAGTAATTTAATATATCTTTATTTTTTAAGCAACAATATAATACCTTTTTATAATCGATCAGTCTGTCTATAAAATGAATATAATTTTTATCTAATATCTCGTTGCTTCTCGATTGTGTCCAAACGCCTTCTTGATTTTCTTTAATTATTTTGTCTTAAATTTTCACATCAATAAGAGAAAACAAGTGTTGACTTCAACATTCCAAACATGTGACTTTTCACAGACACCCAAAGAAATATTTGAATCTTTCCTCGCAGCTTCACTTTCTTGAACATATTCTTTTTTAGTTAGTTAGACCATTTATACTTTTCAATTACTGTTTTTGACCAACAACTTTTTTTAATACAAAGGCAAGGAGAATGATGCAAGAAAAAATGTTCATATCATGTTAAAAATCATACAATTTCAGCACGTGAAGATAGATTGTCAAAACTTTTAATATTAATAATTATCATTTGAAACTTTTCTTAAAGTTCAGTGAACAACTTTTCAATAACTTGACGTCACGTCAATAACGATCTCTTCTAAATATAAATTCCAAGATGGATATTTAAAAACTGAGAAATCTACAAAGACGAAATCAGAAATAGAAAGAAATATCAATTATGTATGTGACGAGGCCTCTTTCTGCGTACTTGAAGGACCAAGCTGATCTATCTCTTCCACCACCAGAGGGTCCAAACTCAGGCATTCTGGTGATCTCCGACGAAGAAGCAGAGAGCGGTTTCGGCATACGAAGAGACGACAGAATAAGAAATCTTCCTTTCCCTCAGAACAAAGACTTGACTGTTTTTGGCACAGATGAATCCACCAACAGAGTCATGTTCATTCCAGTTCTGAATCAACCCTTGAGTGCCAATCGCTACTACGTCGTCTTCACACAAGGCTGGGAAGAAGGGTATGAACCGAATCAATCCTCTCTTTGTTCATGTATATTATAACTAATGTTAATTAAACTGTTGGGTCTATGTGTATATATTTGCTGCTTGCTTATGTGTTACTCCATGTATCTCAAATTACAAGACACTTTGGAGAAAAATTTAGCATTCTAAAATATAAAATACTTTGAGAAGATTAAAATTTTATTAAATAAGTTTATTCCAATACCATTTCTTTCTCTATTTAATTTTCATATCTCTTTTCAATATATTGAATAAAGGGTATTTTTATAAGTTTATATTTTATTTTTTAAAAAATAAAACTGTTAAGTTTATTTAATGAGATTTATTGATATGTTTTTTTTAAAAGCATCTTATAATTTTGGATAGAGAGAGTAGAAATATACATGTGTGGGCCACATTAATTATTTATAGATTTGTTAACACGTCTTAATTGGTGGTATTGAAATATTAAAGTCTTATTGTATCATGTGATCATTGATATGGTTGATGGGCGAAACACGTAATCTATTGAGTCTTGTTAGCGATTAAACATGTAATAGGTGGGTTGAAGAAGGGAGAGAGAGAATAGAGATTAGAGGAAAAAGGGAAATTCAGAAGAGAAACGAACTAACAACAATTCTCATTCATTCAAAAGCTTGTGCAAAGCAAATCAATTAAGGTGCTATTTATAAACCTTAACATAATCCTAAAATTAAATATGAGAATATTATAGGAATCAAAATAATTGAATGCAAATATTCTACAATAATTTAAAAGATGATATAGCAATCTAAATATTATATATTCAAATAAATTATAAGATCATTCTAACAAAATAAAAATTTTCAATGTAATTAATCATGTATCCCACCATGGGTCTGCTGAGAATTATTAAATAGGTTAGGTCGCTATCTAATTGTATTTAAACTATGCCTCCTTACTAAAGGTCGAATTAGGCCAAAAGATAGAGAGGAAAATCTAAATTAACTAGCCCAGTGCGTAATTTAGCAATTATGAGGATACATACTCCATCTTATATGTTTGTTTGTTTGATTTCTTACCACATACATTACACTAATTAATCCCTGTCTAGTTATTGTTATTGTTAGATTTTATATTAGGAATATCATGATTATGTTGATGATGCTTTTGTACAGGGAAGCAGCAACGAGCTCGAAGGAAGACGATAAGATCACATGTTGTTGGGGAAGTTGTATACAAGATGCAACACCAAGTGGTTTAGATCCCTCGAATGTTTATCAGCAATTTGAGATAATAAAGAAGCCTCGTGATAGGTTTGAAGCCAAGTCTATTGCTTCAGATGGATTTCCTCCTATATTCCTCAGAGGCGAATGGAGGCTATGCAATAATATTCCTCACCACCATTTAAGTCAACAAGCTTCTGGACTTAACTCATCCTCGCGTGCTCGATTACCAGATTTAGATTTTTCCTCCTATCTTGACTGTTCTGAACAAGTTGTTGTTGGAAAATGGTAAGCTAAACATTTTAACATTTTCATATTAATTAAGCATGAGATCCAATTCTATAATATATGTATGTATGTATGTGCGCGCAGATTTTTGTGACAAATTAACCATTTGATGCATCGATTTTTTTTGTTCCTTGCAGGTACTGTCCTTCCATGATGGTGAAAGAACATGGAACGAGATCAAAAAACAAGAATAATAAATCAATGTTCTACGATATGACACTTGAGCAAAGATGGGACAAGGTATTTTCCAAGGAAAATAATAACGATGGAAACGCAACAGAAAAGAAAGTAGTTGTGGAAGTGGAGGTCGCTAAAACAGAAGCTGCACAAATTGCAGGAACAAAGGATGCTTCAAGGAGTGACAAAGATGTGAGCAAAACCGGATTTATGTGGTTTGCTAGTCATCATGATGGTAATAATAGCAAGAAAGAAGAGAAAGTAGGGTTGAACATGGCTATTGTTGAGAGAATGAAATGGGAACAAGAAAGAGTTGGATGGCTTACTGGGAATCACAAGATAGGAAGAGTGGAAGAGTTTGGAGGTAATAATAGTGACACGTGGAAAAAATTTTCATGTTATATACTTGTGGAGAGTTTTGTGTTGAAGACTATGGAAGGAAGATTGGTGATCACTTTTGATTATAAGCACGCCCACCAAATTAGGTGCAAGTGGGACTGAGCTGCATTATTAAGATCTTCATCTTCATATATAGATTTTACATTTTTTTCATCTTTGGCTTCCCTAAAAACGATAGGGAGAATTACAATCATATCTCAAACAAGAAAATTATCTAATTATTTTTCAATCCATTTATAAGTCAAATTTTTATATTTACATGTTAAACTTCAGTATTTATAAATGGATGGGACTTGTAGGAAATTAGTTTCCTTATTGGGATCTATATGTAATTCTCCCAAAAAGATATCGTTACATATATTAGTTATAATCAAAATTTAGTCAATCATGTGAGGCCAGCTCCATAGTTGGAGTTTTTGGACTATTGTCCAACTCTTCGAATAGGCACATGTTGATCTGATTTTCTTTCTTATTTATTTCATTTATATAATTTTAATCGCTCATGTACTTTGACCATTATAAAAAAAATAAAAAAATATGGTCATGTTTGTATTTTATAAAGTTTGACAACATTTTTATCCATTGGCCCAAGTTTTATTGATTGTTTATTTTTTGTTATATAAGGACGAAAATATTGTGATTTTTTTGTCTTTTAATTTTATTAGACGAGGAAATGGTAATTTTTCAACACACAGAGGAATATGCTGTGTAAATTAAATATTTTTATGGACAATGATAGTATATTATACTGAAAATATTTTTTTTAATTTTTGGTAAATTTTATTAGTTTAGTTAATATAGATAAATTATATTATATAGCTTGTCACGATTGTTCACACCTCATCATTTTGTCTCAAATAATTTTCAATCATGTCGCGATCGACAAAATAAATATCTCCAGATAGAGCAAAAGTCTATTTTAATTTGATATGGAAATGATGTGACTATACAGAGTTTATGCTACAGTTTACTGCTACAGTTTACTTAATTTAATCATGTTTTTGGAGAGAGAAAACTTCTTTGAATTTTCCATGAGGTTTTATTAATGCAAACTGCATATGCTTGACATTTTCAAACACGCATACAATAACAATCAAGAAAGTCAATTGGAATAAAGTAGAGGCTACAGTTCAAAGTCAGCAACCCTTTTTTTTTTTTGCCAAAATAAATTAACAACCTAATACTTTTTTCATTCTAAATTATAAAATATTTTTTTTAAAAAATTATTTTAAAATATAAGATATTTTTAATAGATTAAAATTTTATTAAATACATTAATTTAATAATTATTCTTTCTTTCTCTGCAATTAATTTATATCCTTTCTCTTTTCAATGTATTAAATGATGAGTATTTTTGAAAGTTTATATTTTTATTTCGAAAAGATAAGATTGTTAAGTATATTTAGTAAGATTTTTTGATATGTTAAATTTTATCTAAAAGTATCTTATAATTTAAAATGGAGGAAGTATAACAAAGTTATAATAATTAATAAATAAATTGGTCAGAGATATATATTACAATATCATCTTTGATTTTTGTGTGACTACCATTCAGAGAGTTCGGGGAAACTTTAACGCTGGAACTATACATATCTAATTAACTGTCATTCTAATCATGTTATCATCAAATCTTGTATTTCTCTACTATTTTGGGGGGCTGTGTGTTGTAATTATTATGTAAATGTGTCAAAAGAAAAGTCCCTCATTGCCCACATGAGAAGAGCCCCTAGCGTATATATATGCTAAGGAATGAAAATGGGTTAATAAATGGACTCAAAGGAGAAGTTGACTTGCGCACCCTTACGTGTGAGTTGAAGAGGCACTGTATTCTTTTTACCGAATTTGTTTTGCAAAATTATTAAATTAATTTGTATTTTGGGCTTTTCAAGAAAAAACACAAATTTATTGTGTTTAAAAGTTAAGTTATAGCCTAAGAGGAGTTTTATTCAGATTTTATCAAATTTTAATAATGTTTAATGAGTGTTTTATTGTCATAACTCCCCAACCACTCAATGTTATACAATATCAACATAAAGTGATTCTATGGGTAATTATTTCCATATAAAACTGGTGCTTAATTGCTGCTTTAAGGATCTCTATATGATTGTGCCTATATACAGATCGAGAATGCAGTGTAGCGGTGAGCTCAGCTCTTCAATTCTCAAGCTTCTCCTCTGTATTGTGTTGCTAAGTATATTCTATTAGTCTTTGTTGTTCTGTGGCCTTACTTATTTTGCAGGATGAGTTTGTTTAATTGGAGAGCTGCCGTATGAACAACCTAGTGTGGCGGAATAGCTCTTAAGGACAGTGTCCTTGGCACGACTCAGACTTTAAATCTATCTACTGGTTCCAACACTGTGTGTGCGTATAAAATTTTTCCATGACAGGAATTTCATTGTCTCTTTAATTTTCTTGGCTGCTGCAATTAATCTTGTTGACAAACTCAATTGAAGCTTAATCCCTAAATTTTACTTTAGCATAACTTAGTCCCTGTAATATAATTTTAGCAATTTAAAACGTCAATCCATAACTTTTAAGAAATAACTTTAGCATTTATAATTTTATTTTTAAATTATACAGACTAATATATTAAACGATTAAAACTATAAGAATTGAATTATATTTAGTCAAAGTTGAGAACTAAATTTCAATCAAGTTAAAATTATAAAAATTTGGTTATTTCAAGTCAAAGTTTAAGAATTGAATTATAAATTAAATCTATAGAGACTAAATGATTAATTTTCCTTTACTTAAATCATCAAAATATCCCTCATCTCTCAACGTCCAAATTTGGGTTTTTGGTCATTTATACAAGAATCTTATTGGAAAATTCTCATTTTAGATTCTTTAACCACACTTAATAAAAAAGAAGGCCCCTTAAATTTTGAAAATTCACTTCAGACTAGAGATATTAAAATTAAATTAAAATGCAAAGTAAAATTACCTTATTGTCCCTCCTCATCTTCTCTGATTTTTTGCTGAAATTGTTCATTTTCCTATATGAAATTGATTCATTGATCTACAAAAGTTGTTTGTACTTGATTTTATTTCAACTGTTTTAATCATAGTAAAACAAGCTATTCATTTCTTTACACGAAGATGTTCATTGATTTATATTAAGTCGTTTATTAACTTACATGAATTGCTTGTGCGATTATTAAATTTTTATTTCATTTTAAGTGTTGTAATTATAGTAAAATGAGTTGTTTATTTTCCTACATCAAATTATTCATTGGCCTACAAAAGTTATTTGTGCCTCAACAACTTCATTTAGGAAAATAAGCAATTTCAGTGGAGTTAGAGGGGATGAAGGATAATGTGATAATTTTACTTCGCACTTTAATTTCACTTTATTACCTTAGTGTTAAGTGAATTTTCAGGGACCTGCTTTCATTAAGTGTGGTCAAGGGTTTAAAAGAAGTTTTCCCAATCTTATTCCTCCCTTTGATCCTTGCTAAACAAGCTAAGAATATGCCATTTCCAAGTCGTGTTATGTTTGACTTCCTTATTCTGTTTTTGCTTTGTAATCCTTCATCTTATATGATCAGAAAAGGGAAAATTCTCGAGTCGTTCTAGCTTGGCTTGCTCGAGTTCGTCTGCTCCCAACGTACAAGTAAGCTTTCATTCAAAAGCTTCTTAACTCAATTCTTCTTCTTTCTAATCCTTAAGCTTTCATTGATCTCTATATAAGCAGATTCGAAGAGTCATAAATTGGGAGATATCAGAGATTCAGATCGAGGTCAATTTCTATCATGTATCTGACAAGGCCTCTTTCTCTATACTTGAAGGACGAAGTTGCTTTGTCTCTTCCACCTCCAGAGGGTCCAAACTCTGGCTATCTTGTGGTCTCCGATGAAGAATCTGAAATTCTCTTGCGTTTGCGAACCAATTTCCGAATAAGGCGCTTGCCTTTCTTTCAAAACAAGGACTTCGTCGTTCACGGCTGTAATGACTTCGGTATTCGTGGGACTTCTACATTCGTACTGGCAGTAACTCTGATGATAGAAACAACAGCAAAGTCCTCTTCATTCCAATTTTGAATCAGCCTTTATCTGACAATCGCTACTACGTGATGTGGAGAGACTACTGGACTAGAGGGTATGTAACGAATCGTTTCTCTCTAAATCTGCAGATTTAGTGCTCTGTTTGGTCCAATTGAAAGCAGGTTTTGCTTATTTTTGAAATTAGTTCAAGTCTCTTGAGAAATTTCTAAATGAAGCTAATTCATGTGGTAAAGGTAAGATTGATAGTGTGTGCAGAGGTCAAAGGCTTAACAAATGCTGATGTAGAGAGAGGTGGGGGGGGGGATTTCTAATTAATTGTGCCTTTCATCAAATTTTCATAAAATACATGCTAACCAATATGTGTTGTTCATCCCTCTTATGTTAAACTACTAAGTGTGTGTTTGATTTTCAGTTTATCAAAAATCATTCAATGAAAGTTCATTTAGCAAAAGTCATTTTAGTAAAATCAGTTGTTGTAACGAAATTTATATTTGGATATATTTTTTTCAAAAGTTAATTTGATACATTGAATATTGTTTAAATTATGATAGTGAAATGTGCTTTTTAATGTACAATTATTAAAAATGACATTGATTTAGAATGATTTGTAATTTTTATTATATAAATGTAATATATTTGAAATATTTTTAAAATGTGATAAGATTTTAGATAACATAAATTTTGATCTACAATACTAAAAACTTAATCTCTAGTTATTTTTAATTTTTTAATTTGTAATTTTAGAAAATTAATAAAGAGTTGTAATTTTTATTATACATTAATGCTAAAAATTAACATGATTATTATTCAATTTATAATGCTAAAAATTTGATACCTAATTATTATTATTGAAATGATAATTATATTTTAATGAATTAACTATTTTTTAAATAAAAGAATAAGAGATTAAACTTGGGGGTAGTATGTTCAAATAACATCCTACTTTTTAAATTCACTTTTCAAAAGTTTCAAGTAGTTACATTTTTCAAATTTATTTTCAGCCACTGTTTAAATTAGTTTTTAGGATGGTGCTTTCCTATAAAATATTTTATCTAAATAACTTTCAGCATCCTGGAATTGAAATTTTGCTTTTTCAACATGAAACAGAAGCAAATCAAACTGGCCCTTAATCTGTCTCAAAATGAAAAT